CTGGGACTTGACTGCAGCAAAAGAAAACAGAAAAACCTACCAGGCCCAATCTGTAGACAGGAGTTGCACACAAATTAGGCCAGGTAAGCAAATTAAAAGTGCCTAATTCTAAAATGGCTGCCTACTTATACTGGGTCAAGCCCTTAACACTCCAATTCCAAATCCCTGAGGGCCTTCCCCCTATGCCCGCCTCCTAGCTCTGTCAGGCCCCTTTCCACTAAGCTGCGCTTGTTCCATAGGGTTACAAAATAGCTGAACTTGAAAAATGTGTCTGTTCTTTTAGCTTGGCTATCTTTTCATTGAAATTTCAAAACAGTTAAGAGGTATACAGAGACTTTGTCTCTTTATATCTCCTCTAGCTGACATTATTAGTCTCTGGGCATAAGCTAAGTGTTCATACCCACAGTCGTCAGTAGGCTGCAGGGAGTTGGCTTTGTCTATGGAGGATCCCGCGTGTATTGTTGTGCATGCGCGAGAGTACAACAGTGGCGTCAGCTCCTGATGCTGAAGAGCCAGGAGCTACAGAGGAGCAGGCCGAGAAAGATGGTGGTGCCCGCAATGGACAGGTTCCGTTAAATAAATCTCACCTTGTCTCCATCCCTGGTTGCTGACCCCCAGTGGCGATGTCACCGCTGGGGATCTTGGTGAATTTGTCAAAGTCTCCGACGGTGCCACTTTAAATATTAAATTCTCTTTGAATTCATGTCTTACATTAGTGAATAACAGAGATACAATAACACTGACAGATTGATTTAGTAAATTAAGAATTAAAAGTGATAGTTGTTGTTAAAGTCAAAATATATACATCTCTGAAAATTCAAGTCAGGCATATGGAAAGAAGAGGTGATGATGGTCTTTCTCAAACCAATTTACAAGATAAACATTGCTTCACTGTGCAGTAAAGGTCTGTTTGCTGTTTTTCTAAAGTGTATTTTTTTGGAACATTAGCTGGAAGGAGAATTCTTCCAGTAGATAAATAGTGTTTAGGAAGGCATAAAGGTCATTTCAAAGTATGAAATTATGTATACTCTTGATATCTGCTAGTTTACAATGTCTATGTTTTGTTTCTTGTTTCTAACAGATGCATTGTCTGATGTATAGTATCATTATGATGACCTTTGTCATTGTAATCCCTATGGCCATCATTTCAGACTCACATGAACCTTTGTTTGTGATGTTGGCCTTGACCTCTCCACATACTGATCTATACATTTATGTCTACAAAGGTATCCGTTAAAGAAATATGTTCATACATTTTACCGACACTCAGGTCAGATGTTTGACCCTTATTTTTGAACTCCAAATATATTCACTTCTCGAATATCATTGAAGTAGCTGAAAATGTAATTTGCAGAAAATTGGTCAACAAAAAAAGTAGAAAGTCGTTAGAACACAGATAGATTGTGGATTAACACAATAATTAACAGCTTTTATTTCTACACAATGTATATTGGAAGCAGGGGAGGGCCGGGAACTAAAAGCAGTCCTGGAAAAAATTCTATAGCTCAATAATGCATCATACCGTTATAATGTACAGATATAGAGATGGAAATGAATAAATAAAATAGAAAAATTTACTCTATGGGAAAGAAAGCATGCAAAGGGATTCAAAATAAACAGAAAAGCTAATTTATTTTAATAAAAATGCAGATGTGCATTTGCATATAATCAATGTTTCAGTCCAACTACCCTGACATATTAAGGAAAGTTTAATGGAACTGAAATGGTGCATGTATGCTGTTGCACAACTGTTAAAAATAAAGTTATCTTGTTTATTTTAAAGTCCTATGAGCATGCTCTTCACTTTAATTATGTTATTTTGCTGGAGTGTATGCCTAGCAACAAGACTGGGCCAATACATGCTCATTACATACTATATATTTTGTTATATATTAATGCAATTTTTGTGTCTATTATGTATATATATATTAATATATCAGGGTATGTTATAGGCATAATTATATATATTACTAATACACACATTAATAAACATGGATATATATGTATATATAGTGAGGGAAAAAAGTATTTGATCCCCTGCTGATTTTGAACATTTGTCCACTGACAAAGAACTGATCAGTCTATAATTTTAATGGTACGTGGATTTTAACAGCGAGAGACAAAATAACAACAAAAATCAAGTTTTGAGAAAGTGTGCAATTGGCATACTGACTGCAGGAATGTCCACCATAGCTGTTGCCCATGAATTGAATCATTTCTCTACCATAAGCCATCTCCAAAGGTGTTTCAGAGAATTTGGCAGTACATCCAACCAGCCTCTCAACCGCAGACCACGTGTAACCACACCAGCCCAGGACCTCCACAGCTGCTGCAACAACCGGTTTGCATAACCATAGAATTTGTGCACAAACTGTCAGAAACCGGTGGTTTAGGGAAGCTCATCTGCATGCTCGTCATTCTCATCGGGGTCTCAACCTAACTGGAGTCCATCGTCGTAACCGACTTGAGTGGGCAAATGCTCACATTCTATGGCGTCTGGCACTTTGGAGAGGTGTTCCCTTTATGGATAAATCCCGGTTTTCACTGTACAGGGCAGATGGCAGACAGCGTGCATGACGTTGTCTGGGTGAGTGGTATGCTGATGTCAACATTGTGGATCGAGTGATCCATGGTGGCGGTGGGGTTATGGCATGGGCAGGCATACGTTATAGACAACGAACACAGGTGCATTTTATTAATGGTGTTTTGAATGCACAGAGATACCGTGATGAGATCCTGAGGCCCATTATTGTGCCATTCATCCACGACCACCACCTCATGTTGCAGCATGATAATGCTCGGTCCCACGTTGCAAGGATCTGTACACAATTCCTGAAAGCTGAAAACATCCCAGTTCTTGCATGGCCAGCATACTCACCGGACATGTCACCCATTGAGCGTGTTCCCGAATGAGGACTTCCCCAGTGCCCCATTGGAATGTTAACACCAATTAATCAGAACATTCTCACATGCAGCATAAGTGTGAAACTGCAAGGTAAGTAATTAATGAATGCTCCCCTGGGTGGCTGCCATTTCGTATAGATGAATGCCGTCCGGGGGGGCATTCATATCCCGAAAGGAGATGCTTCCCTTGCAGGATTTCACACAGGGACCTCGCAAGCAGAGCCTGGTCGAGGAAGGTACCACTTTGAAGGTCCCTGGGATTGGTGTGGGCACTTCTGGGGCTGGCGAGTTTGGTGGGCTCTTTTCCCGAGGGCGGGCTTTCCTGTGCCTGGGAGATAAAGGGATGGTCCCATTTTCCAGCGCCTGGACTCCCAGGCACAGAGGCTCCTGGGAAGAAGACCCCCTGGCGACTAGTGTGGAAACCCTGTGTTTTCAGTGGCAGGCTTTGGGGACAAAGTGAACCAAGTCCCTTCCCGCGCTAGTATCCCAGAGAGGAGGAGGATCTTGGGATGTGACCTTCTATGTCTATGTGGGAAACCCCTTGCACGGGGTTATGCATAAAAGCCATGTGTGGCCAATAAAGCGTTGTTGTACCTCCAGGACTGAGTGTCTTACAGTTACTGGGGGGAATGGGTCTCTTTATATCCTAAATGATTCCTGAAGGGCTGTAGGAAGGTAATTAGCGAAGGTAACCAGTCGGGTTACCCTGGAACCGCTACACTCAGCAAAGGATAAGTGCTCACTAACACAGATTTAGACAGATTTGTGAACAATATTTGAGAGAAATAGGCCTTTTGTGTACATAGAAAAAGTCTTAGATCTTTGAGTTCAGCTCATGAAAAATGGGGGCAAAAACAAAAGTGTTGCATTTATAATTTTATTCAGTGTATTTCACTGGCTCTCTGCTATGTATAGTGTATATTGTCTATGTTTACCATAGTGCTCTTCAGCAGTAAAGTGCACAAGTACTGATATTCCTCACTTGCATGGTAGTCATGACTACCGATATATATATATATATATATATATATAAATATATATATATATATATATACATATTTTTTTTAAATTTAATGTTTATCATCTCTCTGCATCTGTACATGTTTGTCCTAATTGATATCACTGTGCATTTATATGATACTCCTTTATTTTTATCCACCTATGTCTCCATGATTAACCTTGTATGTTTTCATGATTAACCTTGATTGTTACTTAGGTTGCCATGGTAACCCAATCTGAGCTTGCCTTTCTTTGTTATACTTTATGCCCCCACATATTGTTATTGGCCATTACCCTGAACCTTCCCTCCCAGATGATGTTTTATACAGTGGATTACTTCTGTTTTTGCCACTTTGTATTGGCTGGAAATGGGACTGAGGTTTTTTTTTGCTTAGTACCAAAGGAATTTACTGTTTGATTCACTATTGCATACATTATTAAAGAGACACTATAGTCACCAAAACAACTTCAACTTAATTGAGCAGTTTTGCTGTTTAGATTATGCTTCTAAAGTTTCACTGCTCAATTTTCTGCCATTTAGGAGTTAAATCACTTGTGTTTCTGTCCATGCACCCTTAGCCACAGGGGCGGACTGAGAGCCTTTGGGGCCCCCGGGCAAAATTAGATCCCAGGCCCTTTGAAGGCCAAATATATGTGCATTTTAATAAATGTTAAATATAATTCATAATACGGCATTCCTTTGGATGTGTGTATTGTGAAGACCTGTGTATCAATGCATGTTTGTATTTGAGTCTGTGTGAATGCACTTGTGCATGTCTGGATGACTACATGTGCTTTTTTGTATATAGTGTCTGTGTGAATGCATATGTGACAGGTGACAGAGTGTGTGAGGGAGAAGGTGACAGGTGGGAGAGTGTGGGAGGTTGTGACAGGTGGCAGAGTGAGGGGGTACCTGGTGGCAGAGTGAGGGAAGGAGGGGTTGAGTGGTGGCAGAGTGAGGGGGAGACACAGTGAGTGGGGGTGACTGGTGACAGAGTGAGGGAGTGGGTGACTAGTGACAGAGGGAAGGAGAGGGGGAGACTAGTGACAGAGGGAGGGAATGGGAGACTAGTGACAGAGTGAGGGAATGGGAGACTAGTGGCAGAGTGAGGGAGGGAAGGGGTGACTAGTGACAGAGTGAGGGGATGACTGGTGACAGAGTGAGGGGGGGGGTGACTGTCACCAGTCACCCCATCCCTCTCTCTGTCACTAGTTACTCCCTCCCTAACTCTGTCACTGTGTCACCCACTCCCTCACTCTGTCACTAGTCACCCCCTTACTCTGTCACTGTGTTACCCCCTCCCTCACTCTGTCACTAATCACCCCCTCTCTCCCTAGTCACCCCCTTCCTCACTCTGTCACTAGTCACCCCATCCTTCTCTCTGTCACTAGTCACACCATCCCTCTCTCTGTCACTAGTCACCCCATCCCTCTCTCTGTCACTAGTCACTCCCTCCCTAACTCTGTCATTGTGAAGGAAGGAAGGGGTGACTGGTGACAGAGTGAGGGAAGGGATGACTAGTGGCAGAGTGAGGGAAGGAAGGGATGACTGGTGACAGAGTGAGAGAGGGTGTGACTAGTGACAGAGTGAGAGAGGGGGTGACTGTCACTAGTCACCCCATCCCTCTCTCTGTCACTAGTCACCCCCTCTCTCACTATGTCACTAGTCACCCCCTCCCTCACTATGTCACCCCCTTCCTCACTCTGTCACTAGTCACCCCCTCTCTCACTCTGTCACTAAGGACAGAGGGGTTGATTAGTGACAGAGTGAGGGAGGGGTGACTAGTGACAGAGTGAGGGAGCAGGTGACACAGTTAGGAGGGAGTGACTAGTGACAGAGGGATGGGGTGACTAGTGACAGTCACCCCTTCCCTCACTCTGTCACTAGTCACCCCCTCTCTCACTCTGTCACTAAGGACAGAGGGGGTGATTAGTGACAGAGTGAGGGAGGGGTGACTAGTGACAGAGTGAGGGAGCAGGTGACACAGTGACAGAGTTAGGAGGGAGTGACTAGTGACAGAGGGATGGGGTGACTAGTGACAGTCACCCCTTCCCTCACTCTGTCACTAGTCACTCACTCTGTCACCTGTCACTCCCTCACTCTGTCACTAGAGGGAGGGGGTGACTAGTGACAGAGTGAGGGAAGGGGTGACTAGTGGCAGAGTGAGGGAAGGGGTGACTAGTGGCAGAGTGAGGGAAGGAAGGGGTGACTAGTGACAGAGTGAAGGAGGTGGTGACTGTCACTAGTCACCCCCTCCCCTCCCTCTCTCTGTCACTAGTCACCCCCTCCCTCACTCTGTCACTAGTCACCCCCTCTCTCACTCTGTCACTAGTCACCCCCTCCCTCACTATGTCACTAGTCACCCCCTTCCTCACTCTGTCACTAAGGACAGAGGGGTGATTAGTGACAGAGTGAGGGAGGGGGTGACACAGTGACAGAGTTAGGAGGGTGTGATTAGTGACAGAGAGAGGGATGGGGTGACTAGTGACAGTCACCCCCTCCCTCACTTTGTCACTAGTCACCCCCTTCCCTCTCTCTGTCACTCCCTCACTCTGTCACTAGTGTGAGGGGGTTACTAGTGACAGAGTGAGGGAAGGGGTGACTAGTGGCAGAGTGAGGGAAGAAAGGGGTGACTAGTGACAGAGTGAGGGAGGTGGTGACTGTTACTAGTCACCACCTCCCTCTGTCACTACTCCCTCCCTTCTTCTGTCACTAGTCACCCCCTCCCTCACTCTGTCACCAGTCATCCCCTCCCTCACTCTGTCACCAGTCATCCCCTTCCCTCACTCTGTCACCCCCTCACTCTAGTGACAGAGGGAGGGAGGGGGTGACTAGTGACAGAGTGAGAGAGAGGGTGACTAGTGACAGAGTGAGGAAGGGGGTGACACAGTGACAGAGTGAGGGAGGGGGTGACTAGTGACAGAGTGAAGGAGGTGGTGACCGTCACTAGTCACCCCCTCCCTCTCTCTGTCACTAGTGACACCCTCCCTCACTCTGTCACTAGTCACCCCCTCCCTCACTGTCACTAGTCACCCCCTCCCTCTCTCTGTCACTAGTCACACCCTCCCTCTCTCTGTCACTAGTCACCCCCTCCCTCACTCTTTCACTAGAGTGAGGGGGTGACTGTCACTAGTCACCCCCCTCACTCTGTCACCTGTCACCCCCTCACTCTGTCACCCCCTCACTCTGTCACTAGTCACCCCCCTCACTCTGTCACTAGAGTGAGGGGGTGACAGAGTGAGGGGGTGACAGAGTGAGGGGGTGACAGAGTGAGGGGGTGACAGGTGACAGAGTGAGGGAAGGGGTGACTAGTGACAGAGGGAAGGAAGGGGTGACTGGTGACAGAGTGAGGGAGGGAGTGGGTGACCAGTGACAGAGGGAGGGGGTGACACAGTGAGGGAGGTGGTGACTAGTGACAGAGTGAGGGAGGTGGTGACTGTCACTAGTCACCACCTCCCTCACTCTGTCCCTAGTCACCCCTCCCTCTGTCACTAGTCACCCCTTCCTCACTCTGTCACTAGTCACCCCTTCCCTCCCTAACGCTGTCAACTAGTCACCACTTCCCTCCCTCACTCTGTCACTAGTCACACCCTCCCTCACTGTCACTAGAGTGAGGGGGTGACTAGTGACAGAGTGAGGGAAGGGGTGACTAGTGACAGAGTGAGGGAGGTGGTGACTGTCACTAGTCACCACCTCCCTCTGTCACTACTCCATCCCTCCTTCTGTCACTAGTCAGCTCCCTCGTCCCTTACTCTGTCACTAGTCACCCCCTAACTCACTCTGTCACCAGTCATCCCCTCACTCTGTCACCAGTCATCCCCTCACTCTGTCACCAGTCATCCCCTCACTCTAGTGACAGAGTGAGGGGGGGGGTGACTAGTGACAGTGAGGGGGGGTGACTAGTGACAGTGAGGGGGGGTGACTAGTGACAGTGGGGGGGTGACTAGTGACAGTGAGGGGGTGACTAGTGACAGTGAGGGGGGTGACTAGTGACAGTGGGGGGTGACTAGTGACAGTGAGGGGGTGACTTAGTACAGTGAGGGGGTGACTAGTGACAGGAGAGAGGGGTGACTAGTGACGGGGGTGACTAGTGACAGGGGTGACTAGTGACAGTGAGGGGGGTGACTAGTGACAGTGGGGGGTGACTAGTGACAGTGAGGGGGTGACTAGTGACAGTGAGGGGGGGGGGAGGGGGTGGTTGGTGCCTACCTGTCTCTCTGCTTCCTCTTCTCTCCCTGGCTGCTGCTCCTTCCCCAGCTGGGCTCTGTGTGAGAGGAGTAAACAGGAAGTGATGTCACTTCCTGTCCCCCCTCTCCCATCACACAGAGCACCGCGGGACTGGAAGCAGGAGACCTGGCAGAGAGGAGGTGAAGCTGCCAGGTCTCATTGGGGGGGAGGGGGCGACTAGCAGAGCGGTAGGTTGTGGGGCCCCGCGCTGCATCAGGGGCCCCACAATCTATTGATTAAATAGTTTTATTTTTTTAAAATTTGCCGTTCCAGTTGGAGAGATCTCAGATCTCTCCAGCTGGAGCATGGCTGTGCAGCCGGGCCCCTGACTTCCTCGGGCCCTCGGTCCATGACCGAAGTGCCCGAGTGGTCAGTCCGCCCCTGGGTGCGTCCATAATGGATGTGAGCTGGTAGGTAGCTCCCTGGTGAGTCACAGTCAGAGTCCTTGTGGGTCTCCATCTGTAGGTCAGGCCAGAGTCCCGCAAGCGGCCAGTGATTGGTCTGAGCGATTTCCGCCACTGCAGTGTAGACCTCGTAAGGTCTTGATAAAATGTGAGATGTGCATTCTCAAACAGGTATGGCGTTTTATCGCGCACCGCGGTCATGATGCTTCTCTTATCTAGTAGTCAGGAGCACCGGACTATGACATCGCAGATGCGTTTGGGGGCTGCGGCAGTCTATATGTCCCATCTATGGTCAGTTTCCTGGTTGTGTGTTGGGGTAGAATAGTGGCCAGCAGGTGCCTCAGATAGTGTGGCAACTCCTCCGCGGGGACCCCGTTAGGTATGCCCCTCACCTTGATGTGGTGCCGCCTGCTTCTGTCCTCCATGACCACCAAGCGTGCATGCAGGTTTTGTTGGGAGGATTCAACCTTCTGGAGAGCGTCTTGTAGGTGAGACATGTTGCCGTGCAGATCCAAGATGTCCTCTTCGGAGGCGCGGACCCTGTCTGTTACCGTTTTGACCTCCTCCTTGAGCACGGCTGTATCAGCAGCTAGCATTTGCTTAATGTCCAGCAGGAATTTCTGAATGTCTTGTTTGCCCTTCTTGTGGTGCTGATATGGTAAAAGTGCTGTCTGGGACCTTGAGCTGCACTTGTGGGTCCGCCATTACCTCGAGGCTATTTGAAGTAGAGGCCCTTGGGCCTTCTGCGTGCGCCATCTTGGGTTGTGATGGACGCTGCAGTAGGGTTCCTAGGTCTCTTGTTTCTGTCACTGTGCTTGCCGGCGTTCTTTGAGAACAGCGCCCCATGGTGAGTGTGTCGCCCTGTACGGTAGGTTGGTTGTGCTCCACTGTCCTGCAGAGGTCTGTTGTTGGGGATCTCCTTAGGAGCGCCTCGATCTCTGCCAGAGTAGGCCGGAGCCTTGTGTTTCAATTTCCTCGGCTTCGAGCATATATAAACGGCATCCATCCGGGCTGGGAGGTTCCCCGGGATGTTAGCAGTGCGTCGCTCTGTTTGATGATTGGTGATTTTAGGGATAAATGCCCGAAAGTGCAGGATTATTGAGGAGCCCCGTGCAGATGCGTCTGCTTCCGTTCGTTAGCAAGCTCCGCCCCTCTCCACATTTTGTTTTTAAATCAACAAAGATTGCAGCTTTTTAATTCAGAAGTAAAAAGATTCTTTGCCTACACCAGCCCACTTTCTCTTTTGTTTTTCTACTATTTCTGTGGGAAGACCACATCTTCTGGCTTCTTGGGACACTGCATTGAGAATTTGATTCAAACAGCGTTGTTGAATTTCAAGTAAGTTCCTGTGCTTCCAAGTCCTATGAGTTCCTGTTTTTTTATTTTTTATTTTTTGGTGCCAGGTGACAGACCCTTTAAGCATCATTGGTTTCTCACATCCAACAGGAAGTGGTTTTGAGGTTACTACTATCTAATCATGTTATCTACACATTTACCAATCACCCATTGCACATGAACAATAAAACTGCTCAATGAACTTCATTCACTTTAATGGGAACTTGCATGTTAACGAATAAGCAAGCCCCATTAATTGGTTTCAGGTGAGCTATCATTAGTGACGGTCATATGTGAGCTCGTTTCATTTATGTCCATTATACATTACTAGGCATGAGTATTGACTTGGGTTGACTGGGATTTCATTCATTTTCTTCTCTGACATTTCATTGTAATTTTCTGCATTCTTAGAACTGTAGATGGGAAACAACCCCAAGGGAGAACTTGCAGAGAGACATGCTGAGCCAAGTGGCTTTTATTATTGATAATTGATATAATTAAAGGGACACTCCAGTCCCCTAAAGCACTTCGGCTGAAGTCATGCCAAGTAATTTAAATAAATAAATACCGTATTTATCGGCGTATAACACGCACTTTTTCTCCCTGAAAATAGGGGAGAAATTGTGGGTGCGTGTAATACGCCGGCCCTTTAAATACTGCAGCCGCCTGAGCGCTCTGTCAAGAGCGCTCAGGCGGCTGCAGTTGGTACTCACCTCCCCTGTAGCGTGGCCGAGCTGCTCCGCTGTCCGCGGTAGCCGGCCGGAGTGATAGGAAGGTGCACGCTCAGTGTGCACTTTCCTGTCAGTCCGACCGGGTACAGGAAACAGAAACTCCTGTTCTGCGCGGAACAGGAGTTTCTGTTTCCTGTACCCGGTCGGACTGACAGGAAGGTGCACACTGAGCGTGCACCTTCCTATCACTCGCCGCCACCGACAGCGCCGGAGCAGCTCGCCACGCTACAGGAGGAGGGGTAAGAAGGGGTAAATAGAGGGGAGGGGGGTCAGAAGAGGGAGGGGAAGATGGGGAGGGAGGAAGAAGAGGGGGGGAGTAAGAAAGGGGGGTAAGAAGAGGGGGAGGGGGAGTAAGAAAGGCAGCAAGCAAGAAGAGGGGGAGGGGGAAGTAAGAAGGGGCACGGGAGTAAGGGGGGTAAGAAGAGGGGAGGGGAGTAAGAAGGGGTAAGGGGGGAGTAAGAAAGGGGGTAAGAAGAGGGGGAGGGGAGTAAGAAGGGGGGAAAGGGGGGGAAGGAAGTAAGAAGAGGGGGAGGGGGGGTAAGAAGTTCTTTATTTGAAATTTAAAGGACCACTCTAGGCACCCAGACCACTTCAGCTTTATGAAGTGGTCTGGGTGCCAGGTTCCCTCTAGGATTAACCTCTTTTTATAAACATAGCAGTTTCAGAGAAACTGCTATGTTTATACTGAGGGTTAATCCAGCCTCCAGAGCCTCTAGTGGCTGTCTCATTGACAGCCGCTAGAGGGCGCTTGCGTGCTTCTCACTGTGAAAATCACAGTGAGAGCACGCAAGCGTCCATAGGAAAGCATTGTAAATGCTTTCCTATGCGACCGGCTGAATGCGCGCGGCGCATTCAGCCGATGACGTCGCGAGCAAGGAGGAGGAGGAGTACAGCTCCCCGCCCGGCGCTGGAGAAAGGTAAGTGTTTAACCCCTTCCTCTCTCCAGAGCCCGGCGGGAGGGGGTCCCTGAGGGTGGGGGCACCCTCAGGGCACTATAGTGCCAGGAAAACGAGTATGTTTTCCTGACACTATAGTGGTCCTTTAAGTTTTTTTTCCCTGAAATTTCCTTCTTAAAATGAGGTGCGTGTTATACGCCGATAAATACGGTAAATAAAACGTATAAGTATAATTGGAGTGTTCCTTTACAAATAAAAAAACAAATCAACAGGCCTGAGTAATCATCCCCAATGTCTTCTGATTGCTTCTACTGCTACTCATTATTTAGTAAAATGTTTGTTTCATAACCTAAAAGGGAAATGTTATGTTTTGCAAAGACTTGCACAGAAATGATGTGAAAAAAATCAAACGGAATTTTCCAAAGCATTGCATACTTACTTCATTATAAGAATGTAAACGGCATACATCAGTACTAAGATCATGGACTCCCACCTGGGGAAAGACACAGCAGATCATTAGTGTGCTTACTGTGTTTATTGTCACCATGTGTCTTAATGCGTGCAGCGTGCAATTAAAATTTTCCGATATATTAATATAATAACGGCTCACAGAGGTTGTGATTATGAGACCAATTCTACTTGACTTGAATCAGTTCCTGCTGCGTTTTATGGATTGATGTGTCATCTCAGAAATATCGGAATATAGCACATTGCCATAAGATCCCAACTCCTGCAATTCAATGTGTAGTACCTGTGTTCTAACACTTTAATCATGGAGTCATCTCCATTAGAAAAACATGTTTTATGAACGTCAAAGAGCTTGCTTGAGTTTTAACTGGACTTCTCAGAAGTTTTAATTATGGTGACTGTGCAGTTTTAAAGGGACCCTATAAGCACTAAAACAACTTTAGCTTAATGAAGCAGTTTTAGTGTATAGATCATGCCCCTGCTGTCTCACTGCCCAA